CCGGCCACTCCCTCACTCCTGCCGCTCAGCTCCGCCTCCTCACCGGTGATTGGCCGCCAGAACTGTAGCTCAGGAAAGGTACACAGGCGTCCAATCACGGGCGAGGAGGCGGAGCCGAGCGGACCCGCGAAAATCGAGTGAGGGAAAAGCCGGTAAGTGTGCAGTGCAGAGGTGCTGCTGCAACCACATATGCTGGCTGCAGCAGCACCATACTGCAACAGGGGTCAGCAAGTGTCATTGGTGTCAGTGGGAGGAATAGTGCCGCATCATTGGTGTCACTGATACTAATGATGGGGCATTATTCCTCCCACTGACACCAACGATGGGGTACTATTCCTCCCACTGACACCAATGATGGGGCACTATTCCTCCCACTGATACTAATGATGGGGCATTATTCCTCCCACTGACACCAACGACGGGGCACTATTCCTCCCAGTGATACCAATGATGGGGCACTATTCCTCCCACTGACACCAACGATGGGGCACTATTCCTCCCACTGACACCAATGATGGGGCACTATTCCTCCCACTGACACCAATGATGGGGCACTATTCCTCCCACTGATACTAATGATGGGGCACTATTCCTCCCACTGACACCAATGATGGGGCATTATTCCTCCCACTGACACCAATGATGGGGCACTATTCCTCCCACTGACACCAATGATGGGGCATTATTCCTCCCACTGACACCAATGATGGGGCACTATTCCTCCCACTGATACCAATGATGGGGCACTATTCCTCCCACTGACACCAATGATGGGGCACTATTCCTCCCACTGACACCAATTTTTTACATTGACTAGTAGGTGCCTCATTTACCACCCTCGGCTTATACTCGAGTCAATAGTTTTTCCCAGTTTTTTTGTGGTAAAATTAGGTACCTCGGCTTATATTCGGGTCGGCTTATACTCGAGTATATACGGTAATTAGAAAAGATAGTTTTAAAATACACTTAATGATTTTTTTATTGAATCAGTAACTTGAAAAGCATGATTGTTTTTTATATTTGCCTGGAGTTCCACTTACTGTTAGCATTCATATACAGTATAATGGCTAAATTGTCACCAGTACCCATCTCCCAATCTTGTACAATCAAGTCTTCCAAGTGATGCACACACATTTTTACAGAAAATTCACTTTTCGCCTTTCACGGGAATAGTAATTGGGCCAGTTGTTGGGCATTTTTAATACCCTGTATGGCAAAACTGCAAATCTTTATTTCCTCTTTCTACTTCTATACAAACATTTTATTGATGACATTGCCATTATCATAATATATCATCTGTACAGTTGCAAGAAAAAGTATGTGAACCCCTTGGGATTACGTGGAGTTTTGCATGAATTGGGCATAAAATGTGCTCTGAATGTCATCTAAGTCACAACAATAGAAGAACACAGTCTGCTGAACATAATACTACACAAACATTAGATGTTGCCATGGTTTAATTGCACATAACATGTAATATTCACAGTGCAGGGAGGAAAAAGTATGTGAACCTTTGGACTTAATAACCGGTTGACCCTCCTTTGGCAGCAATAACCTCAACCAAACATTTCCTGTAGTTGCAGATCAGACCTGCACAACGATCTGGAGTCGTTTTGGACCACTCCTCTTCACAAAACTGTTTCAGTGTAGCAATATTCTTGGGATGTCTGGTGTGAATCGCTCTCTTAAGGTCATGCCACAGCATTTCAATCGGGTTGAGGTCAGGACTCTGACTGGGGCCACTCCAGAAGGCGTATTCTGTGCTGTTGCAGCCATTGTTTTGTTGAATTACTTGTATGCTTTGGGTCATTGTCCTGTTGCATCACCCATCCTCTGCGGAGCTTCAGTTGGCGGACAGATGGTCGTACGTTTTCCTGCAAAATATCTTGATAAACTCTGGAATTCATTTTCCCATCAATGACAACAATCCGTCCAGGCCCTGAGGCAGCAAAGCAGCCCAAACCATGATGCTCCCTCCGCCATGTTTTACAGTGGGGATGAGGTTTTGATGTTGGTGTGCTGTGCCTTTTTTTCTCCACACATAGTGTTGTGTGTTCTTCCCAAACAACTCAATCTTGGTTTCATCTGTCCACAGTATATTTTGCCAGTAGTGCTGTGGAACATCCAGGTGCTCGTTTGCAAACTTCAAACATGCTGTAATATTCTTTTTGGACAGCAATGGCTTCCTCCGTGGTGTCCTCCCATGTACTCCATTCTTGTTTAATGTTTTCCTTATTGTAGATGTGTCAACAAAAATGTTAGCATGTGCCAGAGATTTCTGTAGGTCTTTAGCTGACACTCTGGGATTCTTCTTTACCTCATGCAGCATTCTGCGCTGTGCTCTTGCAGTCATTTTTACAGGATGACCACGCCTAGGGAGAGTAGCAACAGTGCTAAACTTTCTCCATTTGTAAACAGTCTGTCTTACCGTGGACACATGAACATCAAGGCTTTTGGAGATACTTTTGTAACCCTTTCCAGCTTCATGCAAGTCAACAATTCTCGATCGTAGGTCTTCTGAGAGCTCTTTTCTGTGAGGCATGGTTCACATCAGACAGTGCTTCTTGAAACCAGTAAACCCAAAACAGGTGTGTGTTTTTTAAGGGCAGGACAGCTGTCAGCAACACATCCAATATCATCACACTGATTGGAGTCAAGGTTGGCTCACAACTGGCTCCAATTAGCTCTGGGGAGAAGTCATTAAGCTAGGGCCTCACATACTTTTTCCTCCCTGCACTGTGAATGTTTACATGTTATGTGCAATTAAACCATGGCAACATCTATTGTTTGTGTAGTATTATGTTTAGCAGACTGTGTTCTTCTATTGTTGTGACTTAGATGATGTTCAGAGCACATTTTATGCCCAATTCATGCAAAACTCCACGTAATCCCAAGGGGTTCACATACTTTTTCTTGCAACTGTATGCTGTACAATACCATTATTTCCCATAAATAATATTATTGTACAACCTGCAAGTCCCAGATACATATAAGCAACAGAGCATAACTAAAGGTTACAGCATAACTAAGACAAACTTTTTTGTTTAGATTTGGATAGTAGATTTGAGTAGTGAAAGGTTAAAACCTTTGTTTTTATTGCTGTCTGTGTCCCTGTTAGTGAAATTCATTTGTAATGATGACCATTGTCACCAGGTATGAAACTGAGAGTAAATCCAAATTTCTGAGATGCCACCAGAGCAAGAGTACAGGGGTAATCTTTCAAAGAGAACACTTGTTCCTGTGACATTAAGAATGGATTGCCCTCGGATTGGAAACATATCATCTCATTTTCTGTTGAGTCTACATGACAGGAAGTGAAGCAAAATTTCCCTAATGAGACACAGATGACAAAAAAGAAAAAAACAGAACCCTCCCTTAATCTATCCAAAATGCAGAAAAGTTTTGGCTTTATATACACTCACTGGTCACTTTATTAGGTACACCTGTTCAGTTGCTTGGTAACACAAATTACTAATCAGCCAATCAAGTGGCAGCAACTCAATGCATTTAGACATGTAGACATGATGAAGATGACTTGCATCAGAATAGGGAAGAAAGGGGATTTATGTGACTTTGAACGTGTCGTGGTTGTTGGTACCAGATGGGCTGGTCTGAGTATTTCAAAAACTGCTGATCTACTGGTATTTTCACACACAACCATCTCTGGGGTTTACAGAAAATTGTCAGAGAAAGAGAAAATATCCAGTGAGCGGCAGTTGTGTGGACGAAAATGCCTTGTTGATGTCAGAGGAGAATGGGCATTCCATTTCAGCTGAAATATTCAGATGGTGGGGTCAGAATTTGACGTAAACAACATGAAAGCATGGATCCATCCTGCCTTGTATCAACAGTTCAGGCTGGTGGGGGTGGTGTAATGGTATGGGGGGATATTTTCTTGGCACTAGCAAGGCGTACCTAATAAAGTGGCTAGTGAATGTATATGTTAATGTGAGCCATACACTTGGGGTTCAGGCACGCTGTTGTGCAGTAAAACAGTTCAATGTATTGCACATAGTATGGTGCATTGTAGCATCATTCATTGTGCACATCTTGGCACATCTTGGCACCACAGCACAACACACTTGCATTGTAGTGCACCGCTGCAAACAAAATAATGGTCTGCCGTAATGCAGCACATCTTATTGCATGTTATCGCAACACACAGGGTATGATTTACTAAAGTCCAACTCCAATAAAACGAAAACTCTTCCCTTGTACTGGGGCTGTGCCCACACTGCAAGGACAAACTGCTTGTTTCTGTCTATGGATGGTAAAAGAATTTTACTTGCCTGAGCCTTTGCTCTCCTGGCAGATGGCACCCACCATACTCCAGAGTGGACTGCTTCTCAACGTCCTCACTTCCAATGCAGGGCCATGGACCCAGCATCAGTCTTGATGACATCAGAGGACCTTAGACCACTGGAGTGCAGGTAGGAAAAGACTGCAGGAACCAGTCTTAAGGTAAATTAAAAATGTTTTTCCAAATCCCCTAGACATAAACAAGCAGTTAACCTCGGCACAGCCCCACTTCAAGGGAGGATTTTTAGTTTTCCTGGAGTTCACTAGGCTGTTCCCTTAACAAAGTACATTTTTACTTTGCAGGGGAATATTTCCCTGCACATGACTGGATCATTTTTTGAAACGTTAATCTGCCCACATTCACTAAGCTAAGTGAAAGTTCTCTTTTGTTAAGTAAACAGCTGAAACCCCTTTGGTGAATAACTCCATAGAGTGAATGAGACCTCAAAGATACAGTAATTTGATGTAATGATCATTTAGTTAAAATATTGTATTTTTCAGAAGTCTATTACAATAATAAACTGCATCGAGTGTTTATATGTTTTTTGTTTTGTTTAAAATATATATCAGGACTGTTTTCATTAAGCTTAGCTATCATTTTTACTATGTTAGTTTGACCATGAAACAATCATTAGTAAGGGCTTTTGTAAAGTGGCTGTTTCATGGTGAACAAGACCTTAGAACCAGGAGGAAGTACTTACCTGGTTGTCAGCAGGTAGTCGTGGCATTGAAGCAGCTCTGCCATGCCCTTCTATCACAAGATATTGCTCACTGTCTGAGTAACCATCTCGACCCATCTCTGTCATCTCCACCAGCTGTGAACAAACACAGTTATTTTTATAAAACAAGATTTAAAAAAAAAAAATAGGGCCAGGACGTGGGGGGGAATCAGGTGCCCTGGGTGCAGTGTTGTCATGTAAGGAGGGGGGCACTGCAAGTGCTGCCCCCCCCCCCCCAAGCTTGCCTGCCCCTTCTGCAGCGCTGCACCAGCTACCCTTTACCCTGCCACCCACAGCCTGCAGTCCTTGCTGGCAGAGAACAGGAATTTATATGAAGACACTTGTGCCTGCACAACATGTGACCATGCATACCCACCCACAACTGCCCGCATCTTTAGAAGGACAACAGTGTGTTTGTTGATGGGGGCTGCATTTTGGTAAATGTGAGGGGGAGGGGGGCTGCATTGATTGCATCTGTGAGGAGGAGTGGCTACAATGTTTGAGGAAGGGCTACACCAGCAATGGGCAAACTACGGCCCGCGGGCCGTATACGGCCCGGCGGACCTTTTAATCCGGCCCGCGGAGCGTGATACATTGGCTGTCAGGATGTGTGTAGGCGGGGCAGCGTGACGAACGTGAGGGGAGCTAGGCTCCTCTCACAGTCCGCCCTGAAGACCGGAACGGCGCGGGAACACGGCGAGAGGAACGCGCGGAGCAAAGGTAAGTGAATTGACACAGGGGGGACTTGGCTTACTACTTGGGGGGGAATAGTACTATAGGGGATGAATTAATATGGGGAATGAATTACTATAGGGGGGATGAATTACTATAGGGGGGATGAATTACTATATGGGGGATGAATTACTATAGGGGTGATGAATTACTATATGGGGGATGAATTACTATAGGGGATGAATTACTATATGGGGGATGAATTACTATATGGGGGATGAATTACTATGGGGGGTGAATTACTATATGGGGGGTGAATTACTATATGGGGGATGAATTACTATGGGGGATGAATTAATATATGGGGGATTAATTACTATGCTTACTATGGGGGAATATTACTATACTTACTATGGATGACACATACACATCATTCATCTACTCTTGGTCCGGCCCCCGGGTCCAATATATGAACCCATTGCGGCCCTCAAGTCAAAAAGTTTGCCCACCCCTGGGCTACACTGTATATATGTGTGAGGGGGATGCAGAATCACCAACATTTTTTCTTTATTATTTTTTTTATTATTATTATTATGATATTCTGTATTTATTTAGCACTGAAATATTACAAAGCATTAGACCTTGCCCTTTAGAAACCTGGGCACTTTCATATAGTCTCACACACTCTAGGGAAATTTTATTTAGAAGACAATCATATTTTGTACTGATGGAGGAAACCAAAGCATCGGGTGTAAAACCAAGCAAAGAGGGTCACAGATCTGGAACATGCTTGATAAAAATGAGTGTCTTAGGGGCTTATAACTCCTTATAGCTATACATGTTCTAGATTGGTGACACAGAACGCATTAGAACCATTGCATCAGTATGTCAATCAGGTACAAACATAAGCATTTTTGGAAGTAATGGCCAACAATGCTGCCCTCCCTGCTTTTCCCTTGACAGGTTTAAAGCGGAGTTCCAGTCTCCTAGCCAACATTGTATTAATAGCATTGCAGGGATCATTGTAATTCCTCATAAGCAGAAGGGATAATGTTGCCCATGTACACATTGTAACTGCTTACAAACTGCTTATTTTTCTTTTTTGTCCCCCTCAATTCTGGCTGGGGCCATGCAGGATTTGGGCAGCTGAAGCCGGCCTGGCTTCATTTCCTGGATTTCGTGCAGCTGGCTACCCAGCATGCACCCTGGGATCTCGCGCATGAGCAGTAATGACACTGCAAGGCGCACTTTGTGTACCCGCATTACATGCACAAAAACTCCTGGGATCGATGACGTAGATATTCCAAGATTCAACGGGCAAGGCTGATGACACAATTGCCTAGGCGGCCCCAACCTGAAGTTGCGCTGAACATTACTAAAGAAGGTACTTTCTGCAGGAAATTTCGATATTTCAGTATCCATATCTTGATTCACTAGCGGTGTACATTATAATGTGGGTAATTCCTAAAAATTACTGGAAATTTGCTTTAAGTTCAGTAGTAAAAAATGAGATCTTGCGAGAAATCCTGTTCAGAAATTACAAGAATTTATTATTTTCTCTCTTACAGTTGTGACCAAAATTATTCAACCCCCAATGCTGTAAAGGGGTTTAGGGACTATAGTGTACATTTGGAATTGTATTCAGAATCAAATCCTACAAGGACGTTGTAACTACCCAAATGCAACTAAAATGACATCAATTGTTTATGTAATACAGTAGTAAATGGTTCTTATGTGGTTTCTTCATTGCCACAATTATTCAAACCCCTTAAAGACTACCACTCTGAAGAACAGAGGTTCATACAGGTGCTTTCCATCAGGTATTGAAAACACCTGTGGATGTCACCGAGCAGCAATCAAGCATAATAAGCACCAATTAGGCAGCTTTAAAATGACTGTGATACTCAGCTCCTTCTAGACATTTACTGGTGTGGTTACAAACATGGTGAAGGCAAGAGAATGGTCCAGGAAGACAAGAGAAGAGGGATGATTTCTCTTCACAGGAAGGGCAATGGCTATAAGAAGATTGCAAAGATGTTAAACATACCAAGAGACACCTTAGGAAGCATCATTCGCAAATTCAAGGCAAAGGGCACTGTTGAAACGCTACCTGGTCGTGGCAGAAAGAAGATGCTGACTTCGACTGCTGTGCGCTACCTGAAGCGTAGAGTGGAGAGAAGAAGTCCCCGTGTGACTGCTGAGGAACTGAGAAAAGATTTGTCAGATGTGGGTACAGAAGTTTCAGCCCAGACAATAAGACGCACACTGCGTAATGAAGGCCTCCGTGCCAGAACTCCCAGGCGTACCCCCTTGCTGTCTCCAAAGAATAAGAAGAGTCGACTGCAGTATGCCAAAAGCCATGTGGACAAACCACAAAAGTTGTGGGATAGTGTTCTGTGGACTGATGAAAACAAAATTAGAACTGTTTGGGCCCATGGATCAACGCTATGTTTGGAGGAGGAAGAACAAGGCCTATGATGAAAAGAACACCTTGCCTACTGTGAAGCATGGTGGAGGGTCAATCATGCTTTGGGGCTGTTTTGCTTCTGCAGGTACAGGGAAGCTTCAGCGTGTGCAAGGTACCATGAATTCTCTTCAGTACCAGGAGATATTGGATGGAAACGATGCAGTCCGTCACACACCTGAGGCTTGGGAGACGTTGGACCTTTCAACAGGACAATGATCCCAAGCATACCTCCAAGTCCACTAGAGCATGGTTGCAGAGGAAAGGCTGGAACATTTTGGAGTGGCCATCGCAGTCACCAGACTTAAATCCGATTGAGAACCTCTGGTGGGACTTAAAGAAAGCAGTTGCAGTGCGCAAGCCTAAGAATGTGACTGAACTGGAGGCCTTTGCCCATGAAGAATGGGCGAAGATACCCGTAGATCGCTGCAAGACACTTGTGTCAAGCTATGCTTCACGTTTAAAAGCTGTTATAACTGTAAAAGGATGCTGTACTAAGTACTAAGATTGAATGTCACTTGGGGGTTGAATAAAACTGATAATGCTGTGAGCACAGAAAAGACATTTGTGGTTATTTCATTATAACTGTTATGTTATATTTGTCTGACCTACAAGTGCCTCTTTAATGTAAATGTAAGCAAGATGACTGAATGATCAAAAGCAATGTCAAACTGGCCAAAACACTCAATTTCAGTGGGGGTTGAATAATTTTGGTCACAACTGTATATCAAAAGCTGTAACCCAAAAACAAAAGTGTATTATACTAATTCTTAGATGTGATGGCTGGGTTTACAAACACTTTCAGCTCTCCATGTATAGGGTAGACCAGTCTTTTTTCCAGTCAGATCAGGTGATATGTATGTGGTGGCAGACTAAAGCAAAGGTTGCAAATCGGCCTATTTTTCATCCGAACAAATAATCTGACAATTTTCGCACTGTTAGTGGGTTAATTGGTCGGCCGATTTTTGTTTTTTTTTGCACAATTTTTTATCGGTCATGTTGGAAAATTTGTGTCCGATTTTTGACGATCGGACGATTTTCCAGCAATGATGGGCAAATCGGCCGATCGTTTTACCGATAAAAAATCTGCGCATGAGCCATGACCTGCAATGTTGCCAGCATTCTTTTTACTGTAAAGGCACACACACACATGTATATGTATATATATATATATATATAGTTTCTGAAAGTCCAAAATTAAATTGTATTCCTAGAAAAGGTAATGAGGTTCTATAAAGGTTCTTTAAAATTTTCTATTTTCCAAGTAAAGATAGGTTTATAGGAGTAGAAAAAAAAACTGTTGTTTCAGGAAGAAGAAGGAGAAGGAGAAAAAGTCTTGCGGTTGTATTTGTATTTGTATCCAAATAAAAACAATGTATTTGTATTGCTGTCACATTGTATGGTGTGTTCCCGTCTCTGTCAAAATGGTTTCTTGTCCCATTCTTTCGTGAGCATTAGTGGCAGCATTGGCACCGACCGATTTTTCGTTTATCAGCCAACAATTCGGCCGATAAACGGCCCGTCTATGGCCTGCATAACACCTTCCAATCAACCAGATTTGTAGAGAACCTTTCCTGACAAATATTGTTTACTCAAAAGACAGCACAGGTAGTCCCTCCACCCCCCCCTCCCCATCCATATAAATAGATCTTATTTATGGAGCACTCCGCGGGGCACAAGAAATTTCTGGCCTGAGGGCAGTTTAATCGTCCTTGCAAGTTTGAGTTCTCTGTAAAGTATAAGGCAACTTTACCTGGGAATCTGGCCAGCTGTTGGTATTTTCTTGTTCTCTGGCCCTTTCTGGACTCCATGTTCCTGTCTTTTGGAACATCTGCTGTGCTCTTTGTGTCATCCAAGACTGACTCTCCTTCATTCCACCCTCAGGGATATTCCTGGAACACCATGAAAATATAGGCTACATTATTCGTCAAAAGAAAATACATAACTTCGATGTAGGGATGCTTTTTATTGGTTTGTACAGACAGTTCTTTCAGACCAATGTCACATATTGGAGACAATTCTTCTTATACAGTTTATAATAATAAGCAACAAGGATAAGCTAGAGATAACACTCACATGTCTCCTCCTGGCTCCCTCTGAGAAGACATTAGAGGGTTTAGTCCCATTGGTCCATCTTGTGTGGGTGATGGAGGTTCCATCCTTTGAAACATGAGTGGAGTTCGGTTCTGGAAAAGATAGAATTTGACTGACATCACTGTTTTCATGAATCTAGAACTGGGAGTGATTGTGCACTAGCCCTGGAGCACCAAGTACTGTGGTAAACACAGAGCTAGATGCACTGGCGTCACCTGATTGTCAGTGATTAACATCATCATTTTTATTTCACATAATAGACCACATTAAATTATTAGTTAAATGCCAGTATGAACTGCCCCTGTGACTCATTTCATTTCATTTCCAGTTGTTATTTTGCAGTTCTGTTCCTTTGCACATTCTGATAAACGTGGGCAGTGCTACTACTGCTAGGTGTTTGCACCATTATGTTTGGATTAAAGTGTCACTAAACCCAACAGAGAAATAAAAATCAAATTTAATACCATCATCTATTGTCACTTTTGTATCTTCTAATAGCATCTTAAAGCACATCCCAAAATCTGGATTTGAAAATCTGTCACTCTCCTTCTTCAGTTATGAGGGTGGCTATGTTTTGGTCTACATGGTCTTACTGTATGTGGAAACATAGCCACCCTTCTATGCTCACTCCAAGATTGACTACAATATGACTTGCCACTGCAGCCGGCGCCCGAACATTCTAGCACAGGAAACCTCCGCTTTATATAATCCAATTCTTAGAATGGGGATGCATGCAAAGTACAATAGGCAGGCACATTGGTTCATGGGATTTGTAGTTTGTAGGAGCAGTAAAGCAAGCACACAGGTGCCGCAAACATCTAGTGCATTATCCAAGGTTTTCATCCTTTTTGGTGCTTTTGTAGGAGCAATGCACGTGACAGCAATATACTGTATGTGCACTGCTTGTAAACAAAGTGAAATGAAGAAAGCCTCTATTGGCAGCATATGGCGAGAGGAAGGGAGATAATGACACTTTCAAGTGTAAACTTGTGTGCAGATACAAATATACTGGGAATGTGTAGGGCATTATGCTGGCTTAGAAAGGTATTATTGAATGGAAGGTTTAGTAACACTTTATTGAAGGTGCAGAGAGTTTACAGGATGGTTGGCAAGCATGATCCAACTTTTCTCAGGAATAGGTCTTGGCTGCTAGGTTCATAAACATTTTATCAGCTAGAAATATAGGGGAAGAGGAGAGGCAGCTGGCAGACATTTGCCACTTATCCCAGGAAGGAACAAAACAGGTTTTCTAACCTATCTAAATGCCTTAGCCATAGACCTGAGATTGTGCTGGACTAGATGACTGCTCATGAATAGCTTTAGAACTTGTTATGTATGTTAACCGCTAGCTGGGTATACACTAGTAGAATTTCGACTGACCTTTTTCATTGTGAGTATATTGTAAGAACATTTATTTGTTTGTTTTTCTAATCATTATTAGGGTCAATTTGACATTCATTTTTGATTGCAGTGACAAGAAAATTAAATGAAGCAGAATGGCAATTTATTCGTGAGTGTACGAATTTCTAACAGTATACAGTGGTGAAAATAATTATTTGATCCCCTGCAGATTTTGTAAGTTTGCCCACTTACAAAGAAATTAAGGGTCTAAAATTTTTATCATATGTGTATTTAAATGATAGAGACAGAATATCAACCAAAAATCCAGATAAAACACATGAGACAAATGTTATAAATTGAGTTGCAGTTCAGTGAGTAAAATAAGTATTTGATCCCCTACCAACCAACAGTAATTCTGGCTCCCACAGACTGGCTATGTGCTCATGTGGTACTACACAGGTCAGTCCTGTAAATTTTGGAAGGTGCTCCTAATGACAACTCATTATGTGTATAAAAATCCCTGTCCACAGAATCTCTTTTTTCCATTCAAACCTCACCATCATGGGCAAGACCAAAGAGCTGTCAAAGGATGTCAGGGACAAGATTGTAGACCTGCACAAGGCTGGAATGGGCTACAAGACCATTAGAAAGAAGCTTGGTGAGAAGGAGACAACTGTTGGAGTGATTATTTGCAAATGAAAGAAATACAAAATAACCATTGATCGCCCTCGGTCTGGAGCTCCGTGCAAGATTTCGCCTCATGGAGTAAGGATGATCATGAGAAAAGTGTAGGGATCAGCCCAGAACTGCAGGGGAGGAGCTTTTGAATGATCTCAAGGCAGTTGGGACCACAGTCACCAAACAAACCACTGGTAACACAATATGCCGCCATGGATTGAAATCCTGCAGTGACCGTAAGGTACCCCTCCTCAAGAAGGCACATGTACAGGTCCATCTGAAGTTTGCCAATAAACATCTAAATGACTCAGAGAAAGTTTGGGAGAAAGTTCTGTGGTTAGATGAGACCAAAAGTGTGCATTAACTCGACTCGACATGTTTGAAGGAAGAAAAATGCTGACTATGACCCTAAGAACAGCATCCCTACAGTCAAGTACAGAGGTGGAAACATTATGCTTTGGGGCTGTTTCTCTGCTAAAGGTAGAGGCCGACTTTGCTGCATTGAGGGGCCATGATGGACGGGGCCATGTATTGTAAAATCTTGGATGGGGACCTTCTTCCCTCAGCCAGAGCACTGCAGATGGGTCGTGGACAGGCCTTCCAGAATGACAATGACCCAAAACATACTGCCAAGGCAACAAAGAAGTGGCTCAAGAAGAAGCACATTAAGGTCATGGCCTAGCCAGTCTCCAGACCTTAATCCTATAGAAAATTTATGGAGGGAGCTGAAACTGAGTTGCCGAGCAACAGTCAAGAAACCTTAAGGATTTAGAGAAGATCTCTAAAGAAGAGTGGACCAAAATCCCTCCTGAGATGTGTGCAAACCTGGTAACCAACTTCAAGAAACGGTTTACCTCTGTGCTTGCCAACAAGGGTTTCTCCACCAAGTACTAAGTCATGTTTTGCTTGGGGATCAAATACTTATTTTACTCACTGACCTGCAACTCAATTTATAACATTTGTATCATGGGGTTTTTCTGGATTTTTGGTTGATATTCTGTCTCTATCATTTAAAATATACACCTATGATAAAAATTATAGACCCTTCATTTCCTTGTAAGTGGGCAAATTTACAAAATCTGCACGGGATTAAATAGTTATTTTCTCCACTGTGTGTGGTTTTTGTTCAGTAAAGTCCATTCCATTCAAACAAAATCTTCAACAACTTCCGAATGACACTCCAAAGTTCTGAGAATTTTCATACAAATTTTCATTAAAATTTCTAGTAGTATATACCTAGCTTAAGACTCTAGTGAGGCTTAGGCATAAGGGTTGAAAGGGAAATATAGTTTTTTTGTTCTGTTTATAAAGCTATTATAGAAAGCCTCTCCAATAAGTCTGGTGAAAATCTACAAAAATCAATTTGGAGACAGATTTAGGCCTGGTTCGTCCTAGCGCAAATTCAGATGTGAATTGAAAATCACATTATTCTCCATGGTGCCCGTTCACATCAAAAACAGCACAGTGGTTTTTTTTTTTTTTTGGGAAAAGGGTTCTGTGCTACTTTGGTGTGGTTGCAGTGCTATTGGCCCCATAGACTTCAATGTCCATGCATTTTTGATGTGTTTTTGATGCTGTTTTTGCAGGTTGTTGGGGATCTGACACTCGCTGACTTCCTAACAACCAATGAGATGAGTTATCGGTTGTTAGGAAGCCAGCATACTCTGGTGTCCTCACAACCAATGACTCATCCCTGCATCAGCCAGAGATTCCTTGGATGACAGCAGCATGTACACAAAGGAGGCTGTCAGTGAAAATTAAAAAAAAAAAAATAATAGGGGTCCCCTCACAACCTACCCTTCAAACATGGTATGGATTATAAGGAAGCTGACACCAAAAGAACAAACAAATGGCTTGGGTCCCCTCCCCCAATTTAAACTTGACCCTTATTTGAGCATACCCTTACTCATTCACATGGGGGGAAGCTGGGATCTGGGCCTCTTATAGTTAAAGGAGGCTTCCAGATTCTGATAAGGCCCCCACTGGCAGACCCCCACAACCACTGGGCCAGGGTTGTGGGGAAGAGGCTCTTGTCCTTATCAACATGGGGACAAGGCGCAGATGAGATTGCTTTGTAAACATGTCTCTGGTAAGATATTTATGATTGAGTTACCTGTTCCTCCTGCAATGCCTGTAGCCGTTTTGCTTTGCTTTGTCTGTAATACTCCATAATCATCATGGCAGCGTAAATCTTCCCAACGGTTAGGTCAGTAGCTGACAAAACAGAATGAATAACACACTGACAGGAAGAAGTACAATTGACCAAAGCATGCATAGATGATCATTCTTGAACTTGAAAATGATTACAGTGTGCCTGACTACAAAAATGGGCATCCATATTGTACATTTGTGCCTTAGACGAAACCTGTCAAGGGGGAAATGTGTAGACTGCTACAGCTTACGTCTCCTTCTATAAATGTTTGGCTTCAAGTCATGCTTTATGCTTTGCTTTAATACTTTCTGAATCTCTGGGGTTGATCTTATAGGCAAAATATAGGCAAATATGCTATGCACTTTGTAAGGGAACTTTCCCTTTGCAAGGGAATGATGTGAAATTTCACTTTGCAAAAAATACCCAATCAAGTGCAAATAAATGGGGAAAAAAAACAGGATAATTGTTTTCATAGTAGGCGTATTTTAGCTAAATGCTTTGTTTCCACTGGTATAAAATACATTCACAGAATTCTTGAGTATCTTTAAGAGAATTCCATCTGATTCAGCAGGCAAACCCACATTTATTGATCATTTCAGAAGGTAAGTATGGCTACTTCTTTTTATAGCATTGGAGGATTATTAAACTCATCAATTCTGGGAACGGCTTTATCGCTTTCCTTACATTTATGTGGTGTCACCAGCAAATCGAGTGTTTTCTGGGACAAATTGGGCCAAATGGCCATCATTTCTTTTCTGAGCTCATTGTCCATCTGCTGCTTGTCAGCACCACCTGAAAAACACACAGATAAAATGATATTACTTACATATAATTTCACTGTTTAGTAAGTTGAAATTACTACTGTAAAAAAGAAATGCAATGTAAGTTAAATTTTCTGACATGAATCTAATTCCGTTCCTTCCGTTTCTGAGACATGTTCTCACTTTGACTGCCTATGCTCCCCCTTATAAAGTAAAGAGGTTTTCCATAATTCAAAAAAAACAGGAAACTTTAAGGGCCTATTCACACTTATCTTTTTTGATTTAGCAAATTCCTTGCACTTTGCTGCAGATTCCAATTTTTCCGTTGTGGCTGGTTTACATCTATGCGTTGCAGTTTAATGTGAAAGAGGGAAACTCTACGTTCCCATTCACACCTATACATCTAGGACACAATGCATGCTCTGTGCAGCCTAATCTTTAGTGGCCTTGTGGACAGGCAGTGGTCTACCCACCCTCAGGCAGACCATAGATGATGTGATTTTCTTTCCTGCAGCCGCAGGAAGTGGTCCCTGCCGGGAGAACACATTATAGCCACTGGCAATAATCGCATGTTAAAATCCAACATGCTGGTTGTACCCAAATCGATCAATGGATTGATTTAGGTACAATCAGCCTGCCCATTAATGGTTTGAATCTCAGCTGGTTCTTGCTAAACTGTCTGAGATTCGAACAATCTATGACCGGCTTCAGACCCCACTGAATGTGAAACAAAATGCAAGGTCTTTTCTAGTGGCTGATATACCTGATCCATAGGATGTCTCATATGCGCATTTGACCTTTAATTGTGAGGTTTTAAGCAGTATTTAGGATTGGTTGATTTAGTACATTATCAGCATACACTGTGCAATTGTTAGCTTTGCTTTTCCATTGTTTTTTGCGCTGTTTATACTGTTTCATTATTAAAAGGTAAAGTGCAGCGCTTTCTATTAGATATTTCTGTATGCTATGTATTTATGCATTTCCACGAGTGTATCATTCCCCTTAGGTCTATTCTGCTAAAGTGTTGATATATCTATGTATATAAAAAGTGCAGCGCTAGTCGCGACCCCCCTCTGAAGACGTGCCTGAGCACGATACGCGCAAGGAGGAGCCACGCCACGCCGTGACGTCACGCCGCCAGAGCAACCTACAGCTCTGGCGGCCATCTTATTGCACCAGACGGTTAGTTCTTAAACAGATAACTGTCTGTAACTATTCCTATGTTTTTTACCTGATGCATCACAATAAATATTCTTTTTAAAATCACTACACTATGGGAGTATCCTGGTCATCCCCTGGGGGAGTACTTTAGTCCACAGACACACTACCAGGATGAATTGCAGTTACCCAACCTAATCAGAGGAATACCAGGAGCTAATAGGGGGACCCCTAGTGGAAGAGGACCACCAGCCTCATACCCTACTGAGGGAGGACCACCCACCATCAGATGACATCTGGATTATATTTACACAAAAGCGCATTTATTATGCGCGTCCGGTGAGTGCGCATTGCTTCATCACTATAACACGGAAACCAGGATTTCTAAGTCACCTGAGCACCTATATCGTTATATGGAATTGCAGAACTATTCTCTTGTACCTTGAACTCATTCATATATATATATATATATACATATTTATTTGCATTTACCTTTATTTTTCATTGGTTTTATTAACAAGCGCTGCACTTTTTATATACATTGCTACTTCTTAGGGTGTTATTGGTACCTTATTTGTGCTTAGCAGCTTGTTATCTTATTACTGAGGTGCTTGTACCACTTGCTGTATATGTTGATATATCTAGCCCAAGATCACTTATATAATTTTTTAAAATGTGAAACAAAAGCAGCAACTCATAGTTACAATTTCATATGTTGACTGGCTAAATGCAAATGCTTTAATGAAAAAGCCAGTTGTTTCTGTGGCTCAACAGATTGAACTTGAACTGCACATAGAGCTGAGTAAGTCAAACAAGTGAATCTCCTCCCTTTCTTCATGATCTGTAGGGCTCCATATGGAATTTCAGTTAGATGGTGGAGTCTGAAAGTAAAGCCATTATGCTTTGTGTCCTAGATTTGCCCTAAATGTAATATTTATTTGTGTATTAAAGATATTATATAAATATTAAAAATATAAAATATCTATTAAAAGACATATTTAATTTAAAGCAACTACATTTAACCCAAACCAATATTGTTTTGCATAATAAACCAGATCAGGGGAACGTATATCTATAATATACGAATAGTGATGGGGGTCAGCATGTTACGTTTCTAACTAGATTTAAGACATCTGTGAACCTTGGCCAATATTCCATGACCACACTTCTATGCAGAATTTCTCTCCCAGAATTTCCTTCAAAGTGAGGTGTTTGCTAAACAGGACTTAAAGAGAAGAGATTCATGAAAGTGAATTTACATTTCTGTGAAAAGTCCACTAAAATTGTGAAATGCATTGGAGTCTATGGGGAAAGTTAAATAAAGATGCAATTGGCTTAATGTGACTCTAGAGCAGCAATGGGCAAACTACGGCCCGCGGGCCGTATACGGCTCGGCGGACCTTTTAATCCGGCCCGCAGAGCTAGGCTCCCGCTAGGCTCCTCTCACAGTCCGCCCTGAAGACTGGTGTAGCATGAAAATCTGTCTCCTATGAGGATCTGTCCCCCTCGACGTATCTGCGCATGTGCCGGAGATCGCCGATCGGCTGCTAATGCCTGAAACTGGCACATGCGCCGATACGTCGAGGGGGACAGATCCTCATAGGAGACAGATTTTCATGCTACACCGGAACGGCGCGGGAAGACGGCGAGAGGAACGCGCGGAGCAAAGGTAAGTGAATTGACACAGGGGGGACTTACTATGGGGGATGAATTACTATATGGGGGATGAATTACTATGGGGGATGAATTACTATATGGGGGATGAATTACTATATGGGGGATGAATTACTATAGGGGGGATGAATTACTATATGGGGGATGAATTACTATATGGGGGATGAATTACTACGGGGGATGAATTACTATATGGGGGATGAATTACTATATGGGGGATGAATTACTATGGGGATGAATTACTATGGGGGATGAATTACTATATGGGGGTGAATTACTATGGGGGATGAATTACTATGGGGGAGGAATTACTATATGGGGGATGAATTACTATGGGGGATGAATTACTATGAGGGATGAATTACTATATGGGGGATGAATTACTATATGGGGGATGAATTACTATAGGGGATGAATTACTATATGGGGGATGAATTACTATATGGGGGATGAATTACTAGGGGGGATGAATTACTAAGGGGGGGATGAATTACTATGGGGGATGAATTACTATGGGGGGATGAATTACTATGGGGGATGAATTACTATATGGGGGATGAATTACTATATGGGGGATGAATTACTATGGGGGATGAATTACTATATGGGGGATGAATTACTATGGGGGATGAATTACTATAGGGGGGATGAATTACTATAGGGGATGAATTACTATATGGGGGATGAATTACTATAGGGGGGATGAATTACTATAGGGGATGAATTACTATATGGGGGATGAATTACTTTATGGGGGATGAATTACTAGGGGGGATGAATTACTATGGGGGATGAATTACTATATGGGGGATGAATTACTATATGGGGGATGAATTACTATGGGGGATGAATTACTATATGGGGGATGAATTACTATATGGGGGATGAATTACTATAGGGGGGATGAATTACTATGGGGGATGAATTACTATATGGGGGGATGAATTACTATAGGGGGGATGAATTACTATAGGGGGGATGAATTACTATATGGGGGATTAATTACTATGCTTACTATGGGGGAATATTACTATACTTACTATGGATGACACATACACATCATTCATCTACTCTTGGTCCGGCCCCCGGGTCCAATATATGACCCATTGCGGCCCTCAAGTCAAAAAGTTTGCCCACCCCTGTTCTAGAGGGATCTCCTTTGAACTATCTTAGACCTGTTCTTATGCCAAAAAAATCTCTCGTGTAATAAAATTATACCTAAACAGCTTAATAAGCTCAACTGAGAGTTTCTACTTTGATATAATTTCACTGAAATCACTTTGCTCACCCCTACCTAGGAGTGCGGCCAAGCTGTGCAACCTTAGTTTCGCTGTTAAGAGGTCTGAGAGTTTCTTATTGGTAGTGGGCAGGGGCGGACTGACAACTCATGGGGCCTCCGGGCAATAGGGGATCATGGGGCCCCTGTGTCCTTGCCCACACTCAAAAAAATCTATGAAAAAGGTACCAGGGGCATCTCCTGGGGCCCCCTACTTTTTTTAGGTGTTGACCTAAAAAAAATGATGATCTTACCTTTGGCAATTTTGATATCCAGTGCAGTTCGTATAAGAGCCATGAGAGTGGAGTTGAAATGTACAGAATTATCATCAGCCACAGGAAGGTCCATTCGAAGGAGCCTCTGCAAGACCCAGAAAGCACAGCATGAATTAACTGGTCTTACTGCAATTAAAATAAATTACTCATCTATATACAGGACTCAGAAGGCTCTGATTATATGCAATGCTATGATAAAAAAAAGTACAACAGAAAAAAAAACATCTACAGCTATCCTATACTACATTAACTCTCTTAGAGCTGCTTTAGTGCAAATTTTTCCCACTAAAGAGGAACTATATTATTTAATTATTTTTTATTATACATGTTTTGAGACAGGCTGAATGTATAATCTATGTTCATTTTCTTAAAGGATAAGTGCACCTTTTGACAAAAAATAATAAATACACAATTTTTTTGCAGGTATAAAAAAATGTGCATTTACTATTTTTAATTTTTGTAGCTTGGAAAGCATTGCACCAGTGATCAGCAGATCGCTGGTGCCATGCAGGACTCCTGCAGACCTGTCAGCATATCTGCCTGCTTGTACCACATACGGGCAAGCAGATAAAAACTCAATAGCACCGTGATAGTTAATTAAAAACTACAATTGTTGGAACTTGTAGTTTTCCCATTCACAGAATACTGTGAATGTGTGACAAGACTGAGTGAGCCGAGCCCCACACGGCCACATTTAAAAGAAGATCCCCCGCTAGCTGTCATAACAGAGGATCAGGAGGGATCGGGGGCTGGTACTTTTGTAACATGTTACATGTTACACCCTGAATATGGGTGTAACATGTTAGGAAAGATGAACTTATCCTTTAAACCTTGTTTCTGTGGATAGCATATAAGTATATAATGTCCATTGGGGAAGCCATAGTTGGTCATTACATATGCAGAATCTGCTTACTAGTGGTGCATTTATTTGTGAATAAGTGTGAATTGTAATGATTGGTCCACCAAAATACTTTAATACGTTAATACTTTATTAACTTAAAGCGAAACTCCACCCAAAAGGGGAAGTTTAAGCCTTTGTCCCCCGCTCCCCATTAAGGATTGGCACCTTTGGGGAGCGGGTACCCGAATTTGACTTCTGCTGCGATTGCCTAGACGATCGGAAGCAGAAGTTGTCCTTCCCCCCTCCCTCCTCGTAGTCTTTTGGCACACGTGACAGGTCCCAGAAGACTACAGGCCATTCACAAAGCGCAGTGCTTCTTGCGTATTCACAGTGAAGCCGCAAGTTGTCACAGCCGGGTGCCCACACTGAAGATGCCGGCACCAGGGAGAGAAGCCGGTCGGTGAAATCATCCGTGGTGAGGACACCGCTGGACCGAGGGACAGGTAAGTGTCTGTATTTTAAAAGTCAGCAGCTACAGTTTTTGTAGCTGCTGACTTTTATTTTTATTTTTCAGTTGGAACTCCACTTTAACGTGGTTGTAAACCACAGACATGAAATATGAACAAAGCATATCCCTCTGTCGTGTGTACTTGTCTCACTGTGTGTACTGTCTGCTGCCTTGTTGCTGTGCTATCTGCATGAGACACTTCTGACAAGTTTTCCTGACACCAAGAGAATGGTGCTGTTATGTAGGAGGATTTGTTTCATCACCTGAGACCAGTCACTTCACTGGGTATATGTAAGGGTTTACAACCACTTTAACAGACCTAATATATATATATCTCTGAACTGGTGTCAGATCTAGACATCCCTGACTTATTTAGCCATGTACAATCTACCTGACCAAGATGGTTGACGGCCCTGTCAAATATATAGACTACATGACCCCTTCTGAGTACAGTTTCGGCTACTATTCAACCATTTTCATTGTCCCCACACACTATGTACATACAGTATGGATGTTTTCAATATTCTTCTATGGATTTTTCTGTGTGTGTCTTAAACCCACTATAAAAGATCCAATAACACTATCATTATATAGACGTTTCAATTAATTCTACTGTACTAATATTTATTGAATATTGTATTTGAGGAAATATGTGAATTTGAAATTTGGGTCATCAGCAGTTAAAATAAATCTAAACATATACCTAATTAAATATATTTTTATTTTGAAGAGTAAGTACTAGAACCTACAATATGATTTTCTATAGGCAAAGGAAAGGTATGGGCGGGGGAGTTGCTTTTTAAATTTTTAGCTTCCATAATATTAATTTTGTTTATCTTACTAACACCAGCTTGTGAATGGTTTTATATTTAAGGTTTACCTGTATATCATTTTTAAAGAATGGTATTTTTCAGAGCCTTCGAGTTCTGTTTACAAGCAAGTAACCTTTTCAAAACAACTCTCCACCTCCAGAGTAAAATTGAGAACACAAAGTTCCATATCTTCACTCCACTCTGAAAGTGCAGAGAAGAAAGAACGAATAACCAGCACAAACCAAAGCAAAGATCGGCAGGCAAGTCCACAGGCCAACCTGAAGCATGCAGCATGCAGAACCGTGACGTGCAACGTGCAGGGAATCCCCCATGCAATATCTCTTTAGAGAACTAGAACTCCTACATAGGGGGGAGCACAGGGGAGAGAGGGTGGCTGGGAGCGGGAGGAAGGCGAGAGTGAGACGAGGGGGAGGGTGAGATAGGGGGAGAGAGAGGGAGTAAAAAGAGAAAAAGAAATACATTCACAAACAAAGCTGTGAAACTTATTGTATCAGTCAGAAATTTCCATGTAATATTCTGGCCACACAACATGATCCCTAAAGCTTTACACACCGAGAAAGACAAAAGGGACTTATCCTATCAAATGGGTGTTTGTTAGATAGGACAGGTAAGGAGGACAGATTTCTCAGATTAGATCATTAAAGTTTTTTATTAAAGTTTTTAGACAAAAAAAGGGATCAGTAAAGATGTCAGGTGCAGTTTACTATAGTTTACAGATATGTGATGGAGGGATGGGTAAAGGCCCACTTTCCCATGGAAGATATGAAGTAATCGGAACAGCTACAAAAGACCTTCAGGAGAGCTAATACAGAGTATAGATCAGAAGGCCCTAACCTGTTAGAGAGAGTCACCCAAGCCCATGATCATATTCAGGCTACAAAGGCCTTGCTGTATGTTGGTATCACCTCAAATTCAGACTCTAGTCAGCTTTTTTGCTGCTCCAGCAACCCCAACAAATATTTCAGCAAATGAACTAACCATTTCTACTGCAGGTGGAGCAGCTCATACTGCATTTTACTACTCGTGTTGGTTCACAGTATTTTTCCTACTCTAATGGCAGTTTCTGTACAACCTGTAATTGCTGGCCATAGGATTATTTCTCAGTAAAAACGAAGAGAAACACTTGGGTTCCATAAAGCCTGCCAGGGCCTATAGTTCTGAATCTACTTTCCAAAAAGTGGAAAAGGCACCTGGATAAGTAACATTGCCTTCCCTCATTCAAGAAAGAACAGGGACAGATTGGACTCCAGTATTTGTGTGTGGGAGCGTTTTCATCAGTTTAATATGCTCGTCATCACCCCCCTACCTTCCTAGGAGGCCCTATATGATCCTAATCCCACACAATGGGCTGTCACATAAGAACAAAACTGGGCTGTGTATGGCCACTGATTTGTTTTTACATTTTAACCATCATAAAAAAGAAGTTTACAACAAATATTGTAAGAGTCTCTACGTTAATACAATTTGAAAGGATTGTTTGGGTAGGCCCTTTTAATGCCTAGTTGTTGGTAAAATTTGTTCATCCTAAGAATTAACAGAGATCTGTACCACTGAAATTTATCTCATCTTTTTTCTAGGCTCATCCCTGGCAAACATATTATATCATATGTGGGAATGCAGATGCTTACAGAGGCTTTTCTAAGAAATAAATGTACCTTGGACATTACTTGCCATGCCCAATATACGCCTAATGCTCAGTGATGTGTTAGGCTTTTGACTAACCACTTTCTATCGGGAAGACAGAACCTGTGCCCTGTACTGAAAATCACACACATTGAGGCTTCTTAAAGAGTAACTCCACTTTGGTGGAAAAAATATATCAAATTAAAAAAGTAATATAGGATGTACAACATCCATACAAGCCGTATTGTAATTTATTGTTATTACAAATCACTTTCCCATTTTAATCTGCATTTAAGTAATGTCATTTTCTGTAAAATTCAATGCAATATGACAACTTGGGGGTGTACTATACACTGTTGGTTTAAAGCGTGCCTCAGAAAATGTAATTTCCTGCTTGTGTAATTGGCTCACTGATTTTCCCAGAAGTCTGCACTAACATACAAGTCATACTTTAGACATACTCTGCAACAGAAATGTCATTTTTTTGTGAGATTCTCCCTAAGTGGTAATTACTTGTAAATGTATGCTGACAATGCATTCAGAATGAGTCTGTACCCGACATGGTCAAACAAACCGCTATTTCCTCAGAGAAGAAACACATAGGAATCTACCTGTTAAAATCCTTTAAATGTATACTGATCACCCAGACGGGATTATTTTTTTTTTCCTCAACTAAAATGGAGTTACTCTTTAAAGCTATGGCTACGAGTTCTAAAAAATCTGTGATAGGTAGGCCTACCACTGCATAGACTATCCCCTCTTCAGTCTATCAAGAATGCTGCTACCAGACTCATCTACCTTACCAACCGCCCAGTCGCTGCCGATCCCTCCATTGGCTTCTCATTGCCAAAAAAAATTCAAAATACTAACAACATACAAAGCCATTTGCAACTCTTCCCCCAGCTACATCACCAATTGTGTCTCCAAATATCACCCAAACCGTCCTCTCCGCTCCTCCCAAGACCTCCGTCTCTCTAGCTCTCTTGTCTCCTCCTCCATCTCCAGGACTTTTCCAGAGCCTCTCCTATCCTCTAGAACTCTCTACTTCAATCTGTCAGGCTATCTCCTACTCTGGCCACCTTTAGGTGATCCCTGAAAACTCATCTCTTCAGGGAAGCCTATCCTGCCTCCACTAAATGAACTTTTTATCTCTTCCATCAGCTCATCCCCCACAGTTATACCCTTTTGTACGACTTTCCCCACCCTATTAGATTGCAAGCTTTTATGAACAGGGCCCTCCTAACCCTCCTATATTTTATTGTATTGTAACTGTACTGTCT